AATTTTGATATCACAGGCACTTTAAAAACAGATTGAATAAAGAAAAAAAGTCTCCTTCAATAGTTTTGTTAACGAGCTCCTAAATGATCATACCCACAGGAAATGTTGCTAAAAAGTGTTTTAAAGCAAGGAAACTGAAAAAAACAAACCAGTCAGAGTTGTTTTGAATTGATTTTGTAAGTTAATATATGACAGCACGTAAGAACCAGGTTGACGTCAAACTAAAAAGAAAGTACTTACAAATTATTTAAAATATTTCTGTCACGTTTAAACCAGTCTCATAAAGCAAMAAACCTGTTGCTTTAATGACACTAAACTGTAAACAAAGAGATGGGATGATTTTTGCTTATTTTTATCCAAGAAAGACTCAGTTTCTCAAAAAGTTGTCAGAAAAAGAAAAAGAAAATGTTACTGCAAAAAAAAAAAAAAGGAAAAAAAAGAAAAGAAAAACTGATCCACTTTAGGAGCAGGAAGAGAAAAGTCAGCTGAGTCAACAGGGACAGGAAAGAAAGGAGGCCTGGCTGTGTGCTGAACAGACATATTATATAATAAYGTCAGAAAATAAACAAGAAAGACCCAGAAAGCATAAATCTGGGGGAACACCACAAATCACTCAGTAAAAAAATAAAATAAAGTTTGAAAGCTTTTCAAAGTCTCACCTGGCACTGGGTGCGCAGCGGATGTACATGCAGCCGACTCTGTTGCCTCTGCTGGAGCGAGTGAGGAACACCTCCATCGTGTCCAGCTCTCTCTGAGAGTACTGAAACTCCGCTCGCTCCGTCAGGTGGAGCTTCCATCTCCCCTCCACGCCCCCAGAACCTCCACTTCCCGAAACCGAAGCGCCRCTCCTGGACCGCAAGCTCGACGTCCCCGTTGAGCCCGCGGCGGCGGGTCCTGCTTCGGGGTCGGGCAGGAGGGCGTAGGTGGGCTCAGGGGGCAAGAAGGCGAGCTTGGCTGCGATGCGGCTCGGACAAGGTGGGCAGCAGAACAGGCAGCAAAGCTCACTGAARGAGAGCTCGTTCATCCTTCACTGTGGACAGAGAAGACAGGATGAAGCTACATGACGTGTTTACTGCACGGGTTATTACACGTCATGTTTTAGGACAAACGTGTTTCTTTTGACACGTGAAACGTTGAGAACACTTTACAAACACAACATGTAAAACTAAAAGTTTCACAATACAAATTTAAGTTCTGTGCATAAACTCAGCCTATATACACTGCTCAAAAAAAAAAAAAAAGGAAACACTTAAACAACGCACGCTAACTCCCGATCTTAATCAATGAAATATTTGCATTGAATACTTTGTTCTGTACAGAGTTGAATGTGCTTCACAAAAGTTTGATTTACTTGGACTTAGCGTGCGTTGTTTAAGTGTTCCCTTTATTTTTTTGAGCAGTATATAAGCAATATACACTCACCGGCCACTTTATTAGGTACACCACACTAGTAATGGTTTTGTGGTCATAAAGGGATGGACATGGTCAGCAACAATACTCAGGTAGGCTGTGGCGTTGCAACGATGCTCAATTGGTACCAAGGGGCCCAA